TGCCTCACTTCTCCTCTAAGCCCACCCATGAAACAATTCAGGCCTGGAGGCTCTCTTGAATCTCTCTTGGAGATTCAAAAACTCTAGAAGAACATTGACCTACTTTAGACATGGGGAAATATCCAACCCATAAGAGAAAGGATATCACAAGGAATTTACACACCAAAGCACTGGTTAGGCTGGGGAGAACATCCCCAAGTATGTAAAAAAGCAAATGTTGCTGATAGTTAGGAAAATGCACCCCAATTCTGGGAGCACATCAGCTTCAGAGCTTCTGTGAGGACCCTCAGCTCATCATTCTGGTGCCCTTTTGCTTCACCTGAGAACTAAGCTGAATTTCCAGTGCCAGCCTCCTCTGAATTTTGCAGCCGAAAACAACACTTACAAAGGCAGTTGCTTTTTTGCTATCTTCGTCACCAACACAGATCATAGACTGACGCTGGTATTTACTGGAAAGCTGCTCACATATTTCCTCATTTTGCACCTCCAGGTCCATCTTCATCAAGACATCATTAATGTCCCCTTCGGGAGATGTCCGGCCCCAGCCAGACACCGTGCATAAATCTCCTGCCCTCACACATTCGTGGTTCTCAGCAATGGAGATACATTGCACATACTCATTGATCGTGGCATTTTGCTTCAGCTGTCAGGCAGAGAGAACAGGGGTTAGAGCCAGCAAAGCATGAGGAGCAAGTTGAGAGTTTGGGGAGCTGAGCAGGGGGAGATCCCTCAGGCAGAAAGGATGTGTTGGGCCATACCTTCAGCAGCACAATGTCATTATTCCCGTCTTTACGGGAATATTTAGGATGGATGACCTTTTCTACAACAGGGATCACCTGCTGGCTCTCTTCTTGCCTCATTATGTTGTGGGCTCCCAGAATCACAGTGACCTTCACTCTCCTGCCAGAAAACACCAAGCCATTCCAGCTGCATTGACAGGAACAGCCCCCAGGGCAGGTGGCTGGAGGGAGGTGGTGTTGGAGAAACCTCCCCAGAGCANGCTGTGGCCGCTGCCCACGAGTGTTGTGTCCCCTGCCTCGCTTCGGCGCTGCTCCTGCCCCGGGAAAGAACAGCTCCTGTGCCGCGCTGCCGATTCCACGCGGCGCCAGCCCGACACTGCTTCTGCACGGGAAAGAACTAAAGCAGGTCGAAAAAGCAAGCAACGAGTCCTTCCTTTTTTCCTTTGCCCCAGTCCTTTATTGTTGTGTGCAGAATTATCAGATGCCGCTGGTAGTTTAGAACCCCAGCCAGTGGCTGAACTGTGATCTGGCCTGCTGGGAGGGCAGCCACTCCTGGCACAGGTGCCGATCAACCCCTGCAATCAAGGACACAATACCAGTCACCTCCTCATTCTCATACTCAGGTTTCCATCCAGCTCCCAAGAAGGCTGCAGACACAAGTGACTTTGAACATGCTTTTATTGATGGCCAGAAGCAGAGCTGGAGTGGCAATGGGAGGAAGGGAGCAATGGGTAGCTGGGTGTACTTGGAACTTGCATTTACAGCGTGCCACGGAGACTCTTCTTAGTGCCAAAGCCTGTGCCTGCACCACAGGGGCTTCTCGGACTCCACTTCAGCTGCCCCTGGGAGCTTCTGAGCACCAGCAGGTGTTGGATGCATCGTGGAGAAGGGGCAATGAGCATTTTATTCAGACAACGGAAAGCAAGGAATTATCTTGGAATACAAACCTTGTCAGCTGCTCACGGATCCAGGGCTCAAAGTGCGAGATCCTGGTGAATACCTCAGGGAAGATGTTGCACGGACATACATGAGAAACAATGCCATGAGCCTTCTTCTTGCAGACTAATGGGCCACCAGAATCACCCTGTGCCATGAAAGGAGTGAGAGGGGTCAGACATGCCACAGCTCAGCTCTCCCTGCCTTAAGCAGCAAGTTTCCTCTTCCCTCCCTCCAGGTGAAGAACCTCCTCTTCCAAGCACCTCCCTCCCTCCAGAGCCAGCTCTCAGCATTTGTAGCTGTCTCACTACTCCTCTAAGCCCACCCATTAAGCAATTCAGGCCTGGAGGCTCTATGAGATTCAAAAAATATAAAAGAACATTGAGCTAGTTTAGACATGGGTAAATATCTAACCCATCTGAGCAAGGATATCACAAGGATCTTACACCACAAAGCACTGGTTAGGCTGGTTAGAACATCCCCAAATATGTACAAAAGGAAATGTTGCTGAGAGTTAGGAAAAGGACCCCCAATTGAGGGAGCACATGGGCTTCAGAGCTTCTGTGATGACCCTCAGCTCATCATTCTTAAGGTCCTGGTTCATTCTGGTGTCCTTTGGTTTCCACTAGAGAACCAAGTTTAATTTTCAGTGCCAACCCTCTCCAATTCTTTCAGCCCAAAACAACACTTACCTCGTAAGCTGCTTTTTTACTGTTTTCATCACCAACACAGATCATAGACTGAGGCTCGTAGTCAGGAAGAAACTGCTTACATATTTCCTCCTTTTGCACCTTCAGTTTCACCTCCATCAAGACATCGCTCATCTGCCCTCTCACAGATGTCCGTCCCCAGCCAGGCACATTACATTCAGATCCTACTCTCACACTTTCATTTTCCTTGGGAATGGAGATCAACTTCACATTCTTGTTGATGACAGCATTTTTCTCCAGCTGTCAGGCAGAGAGAACACGGGGTTAGAGCCAGCAAAAAATAAGGAGTAAGTTCAGAGTTTGGGTAGCTCAGCCAGGGGAGATCCCTCAGGCAGGAAGGATCTGTTGGGCCATACCTTCAGCAGCACAATGTCATTTTTCAAGTCATCAGGGCAATATTCAGGATGGATGACCCATTGTCTCACACGGATCTTTTGCTGACTCTGTTCTCGGCTCTTTCTGTTGTGGGCTCCCAGAATCACAGTGACATTCTCTATCCTATCAGGAAACACCAAGACACTCCAGCTGTATTGACAGGACCAGCCCCCAGGGCAGGTGGCTGGAGGGAGGTGGTGTTGGAGAAACCTCCCCAGAGCAGCTCTCAGCAAGTTGTCCTCTCTCCCCTGGGTTCCTTCCCGAGCCCAGCTGAGGATCCCTCACCCCACACTGACACAGCTGGCAGCTGCCCCGTGCTGAGCACAAAGGGCAGCAGGGCAGGGGACACACTGGAGCCCTTCTCCAGCAGCAGCTCTAAGCCATGGCAGGAACCATGACCCTGGAGACCCCTGGGAGCATTCCTGTCCCCAAGGACACTCAGCCCCAACCAGGCAGACAATTCCTGCACTCACAGAGGAGAGCTCAGCTCCAGAGATGCCTGCTCTGCCTGAAGAGACACAGGGTTCTGTTTCAGCCTGGATCAGGGCTGAGGCACTCTGGGACTGTGTGAGACTGGAAAAAATCACCTGTGCAAGAACAATGGAGTCTTACCCTTTTATATCCACACAGTGAGCTGCTGAGAGCACTGCGTCTGGGCGAATCAGGAACCCTCCACAGGAATAATTTTTTGGATCACCTTGAATTTCTAAATAAGCCATATAGGGTCTGGAGTGGGCTTTAACTTTCCTTCCACCAATGATCCTTCCTGGAAGACCGATGGGAAATATTAATATGAATGTTAAATATAAATGTTAATATAAATGTTTATGTGTTGTTTTTTCCTGTCAAGTTTGGGGCTGCATGAAAGGAAAGGCTCATCCTCTAAAGCCAGGTGCCAGTGATCCCAACAACTCTCCCTCCAGGGGCTGTCCAAAGCATTGCTGGTGCAGAGTGCAGAGAAAGACAAGCAGCACTGTCTGGGGTCTGACCACCCCTGCCTCTGGATGACTCCAATGCCATCAAGGGCACAGCTCTAGTGCCTCTAATGCCTCACTGGCTTCAGGCACAGGCTGAGCTGGGAGATGAGAGGAGAGAGGAAAGCAGGAGAGTAGAGCCAGGAGAGAAGGTGAGGCAGGAGCCTTGCCTGAGATTGACTGCTCAGAGTCCATCTGTGCCCTTGCACGTTTCTGTGTAAGTCCCATCTGTGTGTACTCACCAGCCCCAGCCCAGGGCAGAAGGACAAAAGCATTTGTGAGCAGAAGGAGCAGCAGCATCTCCCACCACTGTCCTGAAGAGCCAAAGCAGTGGCTGTGGCCAGGCAGGAAACAGGTACAGAATGACAACATCTATATATGTCATGGTGAGCTGACACAGGAAACCTGTGGCCGTGTCATTTACTGCTTTGTTCTCACACTCCCAAACTGTGGCTTGGTGAGGGGCTCATGGCACGTTCTCTGCTCTTTTGTCACGATCTTCTCAAAAAATTGAGAGATCTGGGCTGGTTGAGAGCACCCACAGTGCACACAGGAACAGGAAAGGGGTGTTTGTTGAGTGCATCTCCCATCCAAGACCTTTGGAGAGAGCCCCTGGGACACTTAATGTGGGCTGCTTCCCTCTGGATTTTTTTTGTAGTTGTTGTTGTTGCTGTTTTTGTTGTTTTTTGGTTTTCGTTTCCCCTTGTCCTCTGATAGCAATGGGGAGAGCTGGCCAGGGAGAGGCAGAATTCCTATTTTTTATAGGAGGGGCTGAGTGCCATCAGAGATGTCCTTGGGAAATCAGAAATTACCAATCAGGGTCACTAAGGGACTGAATCTGACTCCATGTTCCCAGAAGGCTAATTTATTAGTTCATGTCACTATATTATATGAAAGAATGCTATACTAAAACTATGCTAATGAATAGAGAAAGGATATTTACAGAAGGCTAACATTATAATATTTGAAAACTCATTACTCTCTTTTCAGAGTATAACACAGCCTGACTGTTATTGGCCATTAAGTCAAAACAATTCACATGAAACTTATCAAACAACACCCTGTTGGATAAACGATCTCCAACCAAACATTCCAAAGCAGCAAAACACAGGTGAAGCAAATGAGATAAAATTGTTTTCCTTTTTCTCTGAGGCTTCCCAGGAGCAAAGTCCTGGCAAAGGGATTTTTCCAGAAAATGTGACGGTGACAGGTGCAGGGCTGGCTGAGACACAGCTGGAGCTCAGCTGAGGACCAGGCTCAGGGTGTCCCCATGAGAAGGGAGCAGCCCTGCCTGGGCCCTCTCTGAGTCCTCCCTGGCAGCTCTGGGTCAGTGTTACAGCCTGGAGAGGACTCAGCCCCTGTTTCCATGATCTTGCTTCCAGCCAGTGAAACCTCATGATGTTCCAAATTTCACATGGCTTTGATCTAGAGAAAGCCCACAAATAAATCCTCCAGAGCACACTGGCATTGCCCCTTACTCTGCGTTCTAAAAAGACCATGGGCTGTAGTCCCTGTCCTGGGCATCCTCCTGGAAGCTGTTTGGTGGAAGGTACAATTTCAGAAGTAATGGGAGATCTGGAAAATTCACATGAATTCCATCCTTATAGTGTTTTTTTCATCTCTGCTGACCACACAGGGGATTGGCTCAGGAGATCAGCATTTGTCTGCCATCAGATGGCTACAGAAATGAAACTTTTGTTTGTTACCCTCTCTTGTATGGGTAAGAAGCAAATTCTCTGAAAGTAAAAGATTCAGTCATTGAATGAAGAAACTTTATTTCCCCTCCCACTTCAATCTCCTATTTGTCCTTGATCCTTTTGCCTTTGATGCAGATTTGGTCCTCATTCTCTGGTTCTCTTAAAAGTTTTTTCCCAGACCAGGTGTCTCTGACCACATCAGGGGGTGATGCTGCTCACAGCTCTGTGCAGGTTGGTACAGAGTTAATTCCTGAAATTCCTGTCAAATCTCATTTTTGTTGGATTAGATCTTTTTACCTACTGTAACTGAGGGAAGGAAATGAGAGGAAGGAATGAATTTAGGA